TTCCATATCCAAACCAAAATTAGCTTCAGGTTCAATATGTTGCAAATCCTGAAGAAGAGAATTCACAGTATAGTAAGTGACCCCAATATGGGTTGAAGAGGTTTAAGAATAATAATTTATAAGCATACCACTTCTGGAATTTCTCCTCCATATATGAGGAAGTTATGCAGGGTAATAGAGGCAACAACTGTCCTCACAACTAAGTCCATCCTCTTGGCAGAGAGATAAAAGAGCCTCCTCCATTTCATTTTCAGAAGGCCAAAGGCCCTCTCTACCATCGACCTCAGACTGGATAGTCTAAAATTGTAATTTATCTGTTGAACAGTCAAATTTCCAATATTCCTAAATGGTGTTAGGACCTAGAATAAAGATACAAGGGTTTACTTATAGTATTAATTTAATTATCATCTCATAAAAAATTTGTAATGTGTCAAAAATTACCTTATCTGTCAGAATGTATGCGGAATCTCCAAGGATATGCTCACCATCTGCCAGCAAATTTTGCTCTAATAGGCGGCGGCTTAGAGGACTTCTTCTAAACACCCGCGAGTCATGGAGACTGCCTGGCTCTCCACAATAAATGTCTCTAAAAACTAAATTGATATCTGCGCATGCCTGCAGTGTCACAGCATAATCAAATTTACGATTCAAAAATCTTTGTGGTTCTACATGAGGAGCATAAAAAAGAGGTATGAAAGATCCATCAATAGCCATCACAGCACCAGGAAAGCCAGTACGTATCTCCCCTGCTTCCTTCAAAATTTCACGTTCTTCAGCAGAAGGCCACTGAACAATTTCTGCTGACAAGTCAGACAAGACAGTTATTATTTCCTTGTAGTGGTGATGAAGAACACCCGGAGTAACTCCAAATCTTAAAGCAACACTCCTGAATGTATCAGGAGTAGCAAGGATCCACAAAACAGATAATAAAATGTGGCGTAAGGGAAATTCCTCATTGTGCCGGAGAATTTCATTCTCTCCTAGAGCCTCTGCAAGAACCAAGACCAAAGACTGCAAAAAATAGAAACAGTCAAGACCAATAAACTTTAAAAAATCATGCACGATACTGGGAAAAAACTGAAACCAAATTCTCACTTCAAAAATACCAGTAGACATCCTAAAGTGCAGCCGGAATGCAGCATCCTGCATCATGAGGTACTCCTCCACATTTACAGTTACTTTGAACCAGATGACTGGGTCATTAATTTCGTGATCTAGAAAAAGGAGAGGAGATGAGACGTTACTACGATTATTAAGAAGGAAATATGTGCATTGTAAGAGTTGTCAAATGTACCATCATCATCAGAGTCCAGCATGCCACCAGCAAGAATTAACAATTCACCAGCATCCTCCAGATCCAGATCCATGTTGAACCTTTACACTTTGCAGGTGAGCTATTATAAATCTCTAGTCACAGCAGCCTCTCGATTGAAACAAACTCAAGAAACGAGCCTAAGTGGTAGGAGTAGGTGTTGCGTGAATTTGAAAAACAGCGAGGGCGATACGGTGATGGGGGACATTTGACAATCGATAGCTTACAATGTTGCCACCCAAAAGAAAAACAATCATTTCTTTGGAGGGATCGTATTTGAATTCAGATGACAAAACCCGTCATTGAGACACTTCAAATTGAGATTCAAGCCATTTTTGATGGTGTACTGCTGGAATTACAGGTTTGGGGAGCAAATAATGACCCGATCGCCCGGCCACCCTACCTGGCAGCCCTGCGCGCTGGCAGATAGGGCTGCCATGCTGTCCACAACAGCGCAAATATAAATTAAACTGATTAAACTTTCCAGTTGTCACATTTTAAGTCTTTTCTTAGCTGAATTATGCGCTAGCATGTCGGCTCTGTTGGTTTCTTGCCTTTTTCAACAAATTTAACAGCGCGTAATGAGACAAGTGGGGATTATCACCCCAAATGGCAGCCCTGGCCACTTTCCACTTTCCACTTGTCGGTCACTGGATATACCCTTGGCCTGCCGGCGGCGATGGTCGGGCCTGCGGGCCGACCATTTCTGTCACGCGATTTGCTGAAGAACATGTTCGAAAACCCGTCGTTTTTCAGTTTGCCCTAAAGACTCGAGAAAGAGATGTAACGGTGAAGCACCGCGACTACAACCCATACCCTTCTGCTTAGAAAACGTTTTTTGGGGGTGGGGGAGAATTTCCTTTCTATTTTGCGGTTTTTAGGCCTTTTTCTACAACTTATTGTTCACTATGGCAATTTTTAGCTTATTTTCGTCAAAAAAGATCCTCTAGCGCCTAATCGGGTAGAGACAGAGCGAAACGGACAAAATTTTCGCCCAAAGTGCTCTACTTTGACGAGTTACCCCTTAGGAAAACATAAAAAAAAAACTTTTTGGAAGAATTTTTGAACCTTGGATACCCCTATTCACACCCTCATGGGTGGTAGCCAGGATTTGCCGTAGGCGTTTCGTTTTCTAGGAGTGGACCTTAAGATACCCTGAAATTTTCAAGTCTGTAGCACATCTCCTTCTAGTGGAACAGACATCAAAATGCTCAAAATGCTTGTAACAAAGAAGCTGCTTGCAGAAGATGGTATCAGTACCCTCGGCAACAAAGGGCTAGTTAAAATAAAATCTGATTTAATCGAGGTTTCACTTGGTAAGTGTTTTTCCTCCCTGTATTTCTAAAGTTCTAAGATATTACTGTCCTTATTGCAACTGAACAAGACTAGTTTTAAAGACTTGCTATAAACACTAGCTATGTACGCCAGACCACGTCTCGCGTAACAGGCTTCGCGATATCTCACGAAACACTGTTACGCTGTGACGCGCCTGGCGCACATATAGCTAGACCTGCGGCGCTGACACCCAAGACGGGGTAATAGGAGTGTATATACAATTTTTCGAAATGAAGTCTTTTTAACGATTTAGTCGACCATTTGATCATTTTCACCTCATTTTTGCCAAGAATTGCCCCCTAGCACCTTAACGGTACAAGATAGAGCCAAACGGACGAAATTTTCGCCCATAGGACTCTACTTTGACGAGTTACCCCTTAGGAACCCATAAAAAAATATTCGATAAAAATACATATTGCGATCTGTAGTTTTTGATTTTTTAAAAAGCCAATTTTTGAGCTAGAATGCTTATCTTCGAACTCGATCGTCTTTTTATGGTACAAAACGACCCTGAAAATCCCAGGTCGCTATCTCAATTCTTTCTCGAGTTACTCGAGTTATCGTGCGGACAGACAGACAAACAAACACACACACAAACAGAATTAAACTTTTCGGGTCAGTGGAGTAATGGGCTTCGCTAATCGCTCAGCCAACAAATTATTTTGAGAAAATTACATATGAATGTTTTAGACAGGCTTTCCTACAGTAAAATAGTTTGTAGAGCAGATCTTGCTATACTGACAAGTATTTTTTACTTTACAGCTTATGCCTTGACTGTCTTCAAATAGTCTGGTGGTGATCCGAAATCTGTGCTCTGGAATCCAGACAAAGTTCTGAAAAACCTAATCACAAATTGCAGGAGACAGAAGAGGGAGGGCTACACAGACAGTTCTGATGACGAGGACATTATGAATCCTGAAAATTCCGACATAATTTCACCTGATGATCTAGACTCAAGTGATGATAGAAGTAATCAGTCTAGTGATGCTCAAAATGTAAATTCTGATTTGGATGCCAGTACTATTTCTTCTGTGTCTCCAGATATAGAGATTAGTAATTCTGTGACTGATAACAGTAAAACTACTGGAGACACAAACAATAATGGTGTTCTTGCTAGAAACTTAAATATGCAAGTTGGCATGCAGGAGCCTAGTAATAGTGGGGATCTCTCAGTAGACAGTGTCAGTATTACCCCTCTCCACTCTGATGTTGGGATAGTGAATGTCATCATTATCTTCTTCTTCCCCCT